GTGAGTACCTCTTCTTCTTTGGGCATTTGGACTTCGGGCTGACTTCGAGGATGAGTAGGCTTGCGGGGGGGAGGGGGAGGGCGAAGGAGGGATTTTGAGGGTGATTTCGTTATCGGTGAAGGTTTTAGTTATTTACTTTAAACGAAATGCGGGATTAGTTTTGTTATTACTGACTTCGAGGATGAGTAGGCTTGTAGGGGGGGGGGGGTCAAAAGAGGGATTTTGAGTGTGATTTCGTTATTGGTGAAGGTTTTAGTTATTTAACGAAATACGGGATTAGTTTTGTTAAATTGTAGGGAAATAGTATTTATTTTCGTGTCATCGTGACCCGTAGAGTGGAATACCTATTTTGGATTTTGTTTATTTTATAAGTAGTTTTATAACCAGTATTTTTTTTAAAGGATTTCTTTTCTACTTTTTTAGGATAAGTATACCAAAAAATAATGACTGTGGGGAAGGTATAGAGTACATTTTTTATATTCTTAAGGATACGAATACCAAAAACTGAAAGAAAGACAGAAAAAAATAGGATAAGGCCGTTGGTGTATTATTTATAAAAAATACAAGTTATGCCAGTGATGTTGTGATATAACTTTTTTTTCAAAAGATAACGGTAGTGAACAATATCAAACGCTATTCCAAAAATTTCGTAGAAAACGTATTTATCACACTAATGACGAAACTTGCTAAAATTCCTTACCTACCCTGACCAGCATCATGATTACCAAATTAATGAATCTTTAAATTCCATCCAGTAACGGAGATAAGCCAGACCACGAAGAGTCAGAATAGACACACTCAAGTAAGACACAAATAACCAGACCCGCAACAGCTAGTACGTGCCCCAGCCGATCTCTCTCACACGGACACGTCTCGAAGTCAAACGCTAGTATACTCGTCCCATCTCGTGTCCGTGTCCGTGTCCGTGTCTTTCACCAATGAAGTTAATTAAAGCTTAAACTTACCTGGAGAGGCTTCAAGTTTAATCTGGATTCGCTGATAGCAAACTTAGGGCCTCTTTCTGTATGTCAAGGAGAGTATCTTGAAATGGAATATATATATATATATATATATTTTTTTAGGTTTGCATCTACTACGGTATTTGATATTTGATTCTTGAATTTAATGGTTAAACTTGTAATCATATATATAGATATAACGATGCTAGTTGGTGATCCACATTAAGATACAAGATTTTATTCAAACATTATATATATATATATATATATATATATATATATATATATATATATATATATATATATATATATATATATATATATATATATATATATATATATATATATATATATATATATATATATATATATATATATACATTGTATACATATTTATATACAGATATACATATGTGTATGTGTAAATATATATATATATATATACATTGTATACATATTTATATACAGATATACATATGTGTATGTGTAAATATATATATATATATATATATATATATATATATATATATATATATATATATATGTATATATATATATATATATATATATATATATATATATATATATATATATATATATATGTATATTGTGCACACATATATATACATTGTGTATATATATATATATACATTGTTTGTGTATATATATATATATATATATATATATATATATATATATATATATATATATATATATATATATATGTATATATATATATATGTGTGCATCTTTTATATTTACAAAACATATATTATCACAAAAACTTATACATATCTAGTTATCATCACAAAAAAGACCCCACAGTATAAGACGAACGTTAAACCTTAACGTAAAACCACACCAATGATGACGGAATAACAAGAAAATTGTGATGGATAGTGACTGCGCTGTACTTACGTGAATAACCGCCTTTTGAGAGCGGAAAATGGGTGGTCTGCGAAGCCGTCTTGTTCTGGCGATAGTTCATAGTCTTCGAAAGAACAAATAAATTCATGGTTTAATTATGATGTTCATGATGATGATGATGATGATGTAGATGTAGATGATGATGATCTTCGTGCTAATCTTTGATGAAGTTATTATTTATCTATTTATTTTTATTTTATAAAGTGACAGACTGGTGATAATAACCATTTGATAACTAATGGATTGTTGGTGATAATTACTAGATAATTAATATCTTTGTAATGTCTTATGGAGGTGTTAATTATTTGAAGAGTTAGATTCTTGATAACAATTATCCAGTAACAGATAGCTTTGTGATGACAATGATTTGAAATAAGTCGACGTTATTTGAAAATGTTGCACAATTGATCAATCTTTACCAACTTCTCCCTCGCATCAATGCCGCGATAAAGGAAATAAAATAAATGGATAGAGGAATAAACTAGGCGATTATGTAGATAAATCGAGAAGAGATAGTGAATTCACGAAGACGGCTGAAAGACAAAAGGAAACTAATATCTAGTGATAAAAAGAGAGTTAATTTATATAAGAACGAGGCAGGGAGAGTAAAATAACACGGAGATATTGATAGCAGTAATGATAATTATAATGATTATAATAGCAGTAATTATAATAGCTTATAAGGATGATAACAGTAATGATAAAGATAGTCGTAAGAGCAATAATAGTAATAATAGCAATGATAATAATTATAACAGTAGTAATAGTATTACTTATAATAATCATGAAAAAAAATATACCGATGGCAACAAAATAAGAAAATAATATAAAGGTAATAAGAAGAAGAACAAGGAAAAGGAAGAAGAAATAAAGGAAGAATATAAAGTGCTAAAGTAAAGACGAAAATTTTGATAATTTAACAGAAACAAATCTCTTTTCTTTTCCGTTTTTTTCTTTTCCTCTTCCTCTTCTTTTCCCTCCTCTTTCCCTTCTCTTTTCCTTTTATTTTCCTTTTTTTTCTTTTCTTTTCCGTTTCTTTTATTTTTTTCCTTTCTTTTCCTCTTCGTTTCCCCTTCTTATCCTCTTATTTTCCTTTTTTTCCCCTTTCTTTCCATTCTTTTTCCTCTTTTCTCTTTCTTTTCCTTTTCTTTTCACTTTTTCCTTTCTTTTCCTCTTTCTTTCTCTTTCTTTTCCTCTTTCTTTCTCTTTCTTTTCCCTTTTCTTTTCATTTTCTTTTCCCTTTTTTTAGGTACGTGAACGCTCTTTTAAAACTAATCTTAATAAGCATTGGCCTCTTGTGATATTATCTGTCCGTTCATCTATACACTTTCGTCTTATTTTTCTCTGTTGTTCTTCATGGGTTTTGGGCGTGGCTTAAACACATAGACAGCCATACACGCACACACAACGCATAAATAGATAAATTAATGAATAGGTAGATAGATAGATATATTAATAGATTGATAGATAGATTATAGATTGATAGAGATATATAAAATCATAAAAAACAGAGAGACAGATCAATAGACAAACAAACAAATAGAGAAATCAATATACAAACGCCTAGAAAAACAAATAGAAAAAAACAAACAAAGAGAGAGATAAAAACAAAAACAAAAAAAAACAGACAGATAAAGTAGACAAATGTGAAAGGAATACGAAGTCACTTACCCCCTCCCTCCTCCCTCCCTTCCCCTCCCTTCCCCCTCCCCTTTTCCCACATCTTCCTCTCCACATTAAACACTCTATTCCCAAACAGTTGCATGATCACCTAGTCCCATGTGATCGTGTGGTAGATGAGAGCTTTGCATGACGTTCCTACCGCCGAAGTACATGATTTCTGTGTTTCCGTTTCTCGTTAGGCCTATGGTAGGCTGAAGGTGTGATAGTTTTGCCTCCCCTCCCCCCCCCTTCTTTTTTTTTTGGGGGGGGGGAGGGGGTAATTTTGGTTGGCTGGTTGGTTAGTTGATAATTGGTTGGATGGTTGGATGGGTGTGGTTGTGAGAGAGAGAGAGATAGAGGAAGGAAGAGAGAAAGAGAGAAGAGGATAAGAAAGAGAAAAGGTAGAATGTGTGTGTGTGAGAGAGAGAAAGAAAGAATGGGAGAGAGAGAAGATAGACAGACAGACAGGGAAAGGGAGGAATCCCCCAAAATAGGCAAAAAAAACTAATAACACAAAATGTATAAAAAAAAAACATACAAACAAACAAGAACACAACAATCACAAAACAGACAAACGAATAAATAAAACAAAAAAAGGAAAAAAAATCGCAAAACAGACGAACGAATAAATTAAACAAAAAAAAAGGAAAAAGAAAAAAAAAACAAGCACAAAACAGACGAACGAATAAATAAAACAAAAATTAAAAAAGGAAAAAAAAATACAGCAAGACTATTGCATTTTTATTAGGCTCTGAACCTCATCAAGTGTTAACCAAACCCCCTTAGCTTAAGCGAAGCCAAAAACGGACGAAATCAAAATTCACATCACAGCGTCCGGGCCTTCGAAAAATTTCTATTTCTCTTCAAATACTGTTGGCTATTGACACTAGCCGCTTTTCTTATTTAGTGAAGTAGCGTTCGGCATTGAGGGGGAAAAAGGGTGGAGGTTGAGATATACAGTTGGACGTGTACCGTGTTTAGAGGCAATGGTACTTACGGATTTATGTAGAGATGTTTATATACGTATAGCCACATGCATGTATATATATACAGATGCCCACGCTAGTATATACATACACACACACACACAGGAGCATATACACACACACAGGAGCATACACACACACACACACGAGCATACACGCACACACGCACACACACACACACACACACACACACACACACACACACACACACACACACACACACACATACAAGCATACACACACATACAAGCATACACACACACACACACACACACACACACACACACACACACACACATACACACACACACACACATACACACGCATACACACATATACACAGGTACACACAAATATTCAGACGTGTATGTACAGTACTTGCGCGCAAATGTACTCAGTTCCTTTCAACTACTTTCCCAAGTTATTGTCACCGGATAGAGTTCTTATTAGGTAAAGCTGGGTTCAC